AAAGAAAGAAAGAAAGAAAGAAAGAAAGAAAGAAAGAAAGAAAGAAAGAAAGAAAGAAAGAAAGAAAGAGAGAGAGAGAGAGAGAAAGAAAGAAAGAAAGAAAGAAAGAAAGAAAGAAAGAGAAAGAAAGAAGGGAAGGGAAGGGAAGGGAAGGGAAGGGAAGGGAAGGGAAGGGAGAGATGGAAGGGAGGGAGGGAGGGAAGGGGATGAAAATAGGAAGGAAGGAAGGAGGGACAAGAAGCAACGGATGGAAACTAACCAAAGAGAGAAAAGCAACCTGGAACTAAGGAGAAACTTCCTGACAGTGAGAACAATTAACCAGTGGAACAACCTGCCTCCAGAAGCGGTGAATGCTCCAACACTGGAAGTTTTTAAGAAGAGACTGGACAGCCATTGGTCTGAAATGGTATAGGGTTTCCTGCCTGAGCAGGGGGTTGGACTAGATGACCTTCAAGGTCCCTTCCAACTTTACTATGATTATTATTATTATATAGAATAGAGTAGAATATAGAGTAGAGTAGAGTAGAATAGAAGGAATAGAACAGAAAATATGGAATAGAATAGAGAAAAGGAATAGATGAGATGAGATGGGGAGAGTAGAGTAGAACAGAACAGAAAATAGAATTGGAAGGGACCTTGAAGGTCATCTATAGGAGCTCAAGCAGGAGAACCTATACCATCTCAGACAAGGGACTGTCCAGTCTCTTCTTAAAAATCTCCAGTGATGGAGCGCCCACGATTTCTGGAGGCAACTTCTGTTCCACTGGTTAATTGTTCTCCTTAATTCCAGTTTGGTCAGTTTTCCAACCATTGTTTCTTCTCCTGCCCTCTGGCGCTTTGGAGAATAATTTGATCCCCCTCTTCTTTGGGGCAGCCCCTCAGATACTGGAGGACTGCTATCATCTCTCCCCTATTTCTTCTTTTCTTTAGACTAGTTACATCTGCGATGGGCAGGCCAAATTACGGTCGTTAACTCACGGGCGACCTGGGTGCTGTTTTCAGAGAGCTGGCGTCTTTGGCAACCCGGGAATCGCCAGGGTTGAACGGAATGTCTCTTTTCTTCTTGGCAGCAACACAGTCACTCCCGGGGGCAAGCCCAACAGGACCAGAGTCATCTGGGGGAAGGTGACCCGGGCCCACGGAAACAGCGGCATGGTGCGAGCCAAATTCCGCTCTAACCTGCCCGCCAAAGCCATTGGACACCGGATCCGAGTGGTGAGGATGACAGCCCCTTTGGGCCGGGGGGGGGGGGATCGTCCGGGACTTCGAAATCTGCCTGCAGAGGGTCAGATTTTGGGGTGGCGAAATTGGGGACGGTCGTAGGACAGGCAGAAAAACGGTTCCTCTGGATGTCTGGTAAGCATTCTTCTTTTCTTCCCGCAGATGCTGTATCCATCCAGAGTCTAAATGTAGGCCGCAAATAAAACAGAAAGTCTTATTTCACTTTTTGTATACTTCGTCCTGCCTTGCCTTTTACTTGCTCTGCGCGCAGCTCAGGCCTCGTGAGCGATTTGTCCTTTTCAAGAGGTAGCAGTGGGTTATTTATCGCTAACCGAAACAATTAAAATAAAGCCGTTAATTGCGTCTCCGCTAAGAGTTTTGCATGCACTCAGAGAGTGTTTAGAGTTTTCCATAAGAAGATAGTCCTTGACTTATAACTGGAATTGAGTCCAGAAATACGGTCGTAAGTCATGCTGGTCGTTAAACGTGACCGACCTGATTTTACGACATCTTTTTGTGGCAGTCAGTAAGCCAAACCCATGTAAATGCCAGTTTCTGGCAATATCTATCTATCTATATCTGGAGAGATAGTTAGTTACTTAGATAGATAGATAGATAGATAGATAGATAGATAGATAGATAGATAGATAGATAGATAGATAGATAGATAGATAGATAGATAGATAGATAGATAGATAGATAGATAGATAGATAGATAGATAGACACACACACCACACACACACACACACACATACACATATTATAAACTGCGGTCACATGACCATCGGATGCTGCAAATAGCCATGAATGCCTGCTGGTAGGCGAGCCCCCAAAATTCCCTGCCTTTGGCAGAATCGAGCGTCGCAACTTTGAATCTGGGTTGTAGCTATCTTTTTGAGTATTCATCATAACTGAACATTTGCTAAGCAACCGGTCGTAAGTCAAGGACTACCTGTAGGTGGATGTAAGGACTAGATGACCTCCAAGGCCCCTTCCAACTTTATTATTATTATTATTATTTCTTCAATTTATTTATCTTATAAACTGCTCTCCGTTTACGTAGAATCGTGGACGGGAAGGACTCCAAGTTCACTCTCGTTCAACCTGGCGCCCCATGCAGAACAAAACATTTAGCTGTATGAATTAGAGACTATATGTTTATTTGTATCCTGCCTTTATTATTTTTACAGATAACTTATGGCAGTGAACATACCTAATACTCTTCCCTCCCTCCTGTTTTCCTCACCTCAACCACCCTGTGAGGTGCCTTGGGCTGAGAGAACAACTGACTCAAAGTGACTTAGCCAGCTTTCATGCTTAAGGTGGGACTCGAACTCACCGCCTGCTCCGGGTTCTCCTGCAAACTCTTCTAGGGAACAGCAAAGGTTTTAACGGCAAAAGCTCGCAGGCAGCACCAGTCTCTCCTCTCCGTACAGATTTAAGAAAATTGTTTAAAGCCAGGGAGAGTCATGGAAGAGGCTGTGTTAATTCTGCCTTTTTGTAGGACCCTTCCATCTTTGCGTTGTGCTTTCATGGATCAGGAGAAGCCGCAAAGCAGCTCTTTTTTTGACCCGGAATAGACCGGGCTTCCAATACTATAGCCGCCTTTAAGCGGAACGAACGTTGAAATGCTGTTGCACCCTTCGGCTTCCTGACCCTCTATTTGTACTGGGCTATTTTGGAACTTCAAAATACTCATAGACTTACCCCTCCCCACACACACACACAGCCTGGCCTGGAGAGCAGATTCCTGCATCTTTGCACGCCCATTGGGAAAGAAACAACAAAGGGAAAAAACAGCCACAGGAAACGGTCACAATGAAAACTTGGGATGCTTCTTGGACGAGAAGCAAAACATCCTTCAAAAAAGTCCCGGGAAAAAAAAGCATCTTTGGGACAACCATTAACCTGGAGGACTGAGAGTCTCCATTTGTTGTTAGTTGCGAAGTCGTGTCCGACCCATTGCGACCCCACGGACAACGTTCCTCCAGGCCTTCCTGTCCTCTGCCATCGTCTGGAGTCCATTGAAGCTCACGCCTCCTGCTTCAGTGACTCCATCCAGCCACCTCATTCTCTGTCGTCCCCTTCTTCTCTTGCCCTCCATCTTTCCCAGCATCAGGCTCTTCTCCAGTGAGTCCTTCCTTCTCATTAGGTGGCCAAAGTACTTGAGTTTCAACGTCAGGATCTGGCCTTCTAAAGAGCAGTCTGGGTTGATCTCCTCCAGGCCTTCCTGTCCTCTACCATCGTCTGGAGTCCATTGAAGCTCCCGCCTCCTGCTTCAGGGACTCCATCCAGCCACCTCCTTCTCTGTCGTCCCCTTCTTCTCTTGCCCTCCATCTTTCCCAGCATCAGGCTCTTCTCCAGTGAGTCCTTCCTTCTTTCTCATTAGGTGGCCAAAGTACGTGAGTTTCCACTTCAGGATCTGGCCTTCTAAAGAGCAGTCAGGGTTGATCTCTAGGACTGACCGGTTGGATCGCCTTCCAGTCCAGGGGACTCGCATGACTCTTCTCCAGCACCAGAGTTCAAAGGCCTCCATTCTCCATAGACATTTGCAAAATGGGGCAAAATTCACTTAACAACTGTCGCTTAGCAACAGAACGGTTGGACTCAATTGTGATTGTGAGTCAAGGACCACCTGTATTGCTAAGCCAGGCGCTTGCTAAGCGAATTCTCTTCTACTTTGCTACCTTTTCTTTGCGGTCGTCGTCAAACGAATCGCTCCAGTTGCTAAGCGAATCGTGCAGTTGTAAAGCAAAAGGCAAGTGACTTGGTTGGACAATCTTACTAGCCCCCGTTTCCTATTCAGGTACTAAGCTGGTCTGGCCACACTTGACTTTCTAGCTAAAACAGGCCTCTTTGCTGAAGGCATGTAGAAGAGGAGCAGGCACAGCTGGAGGCAGGGTTAAACAGGCCATCAGCTCAGAATCCTTCCGTTGCTACAAACAACCCTTTGGATTCCCTTGATCCCTTACCGAGCACCAAGTTAGCACGGTTAATTGAACTAGATTTTTCCGCAGAGACTTGAATAAACCTTCTGTTGCGTATTTCTATTTCTAAATTGAATGTATTACGGTCCCGATCCTTTTTCGCCCGACAAGGCAGTTGCGATTGCCAAACACATCCTGCTTGTTGCAATCATCTAACCCTCCTGCGTTGTTGAGGCGCAGATGCCGTTTACACTCGCCTACTTTGAAGCCGGCTTCAAGTAGCCATTTTGACCAGAAATAATTTATTAACCATTTATTAACTAACCAAAGAGAGAAGCAACCTAGAACAAAGGAGAAACTTCCTGACAGTCAGAACAATTAACCAGTGGAACAACCTGCCTCCAGAAGCGGTGAATGCTCCAACACTGGAAGTTTTTAAGAAGAGACTGGACAGCCATTTGTCCGAAATGGGATAGGGTTTCCTGCCTGAGCAGGGGGTTGGACTAGATGACCTCCAAGGTCCCTTCCAACTTTATCATCATCATCATCATTATTATTATTATTAATCTTACATATATTTTATATTTATATCTGGGGGTTATAAGGGGCTTTTTAACATTTCTGGGTATTTCTACGCAACCCTCCACACTGAAATTTGGAGGGATTTGTTTCAGCAGCCCTGAAGGATTTCCCCACACCATCCATGCCTCTTTTTCCGATTGAGTTTTTTTTCCTCTTTCCGGTCTCTTCATTTTCTCAGCCTTGAGTTGTTTTACCCTATTCTTATTAATATGCGTCGTTTGTTGGTAGCACTTGTTTCATATTTAGGGATTGTCTGCATTCTACTAGGGCGTTATTTTTCCGTGGATGCAGTTGAAGAGTTTGGTGTTAGCTGTAAACTAAAAATGGAGGCAAGGGTTGCAGCCAGGACTTTGGAAGGTGTCCCCTGGTCAGGGAAAAATGGTGAGAGTAGTTAAGGCAGCAGGATAGAAACCAGGAGATGGTGAGTTCTAGTCCTTAGGAAAGCTGGTTGGGTGACTTTGGGCCAGTCACCAGGAGATGGTGAGTTCTAGTCCCGCCTTGGGCACGAAAGCCAACTGGATGATTTTGGGCCAATCCCGAGGAGACAGTGAGTTCTAGTCCCGCCTTGGGCGTGAAAGCCGGTTGGGTGACTCTGGGCCAATCACCAGGAGACGGTGAGTTCTAGTCCCGCCTTGGGCACGAAAGCCAGTTGGGTGACTTTGGACCAATCACCAGGAGATGGTGAGTTCTAGTCCCACCTTAGGCTTGAAAGCCAGCTGGGTGACTTTGGGCCAGTCACCAGGAGACGGTGAGTTCTAGTCCCGCCTTGGGCACGAAAGCCAACTGGATGATTTTGGGCCAATCCCCAGGAGACAGTCCCGCTTTAGGCACGAAAGCCAGCTGGGTGACGTTGGACCAATCATTCAGCCTGATCCACAGAGTTGGTGTTGGGGGCGGGGGGGGTGGCAATAGAAGGAGGAAAGAGTATCGTTTGTGTTTGCCACCGCGAGATATTTGTAAAAATAAACGGATACAAATAAATAAATAAATTGGAGGAGCCGATTTCTGCAACAACCTTCTCAATAACGGGTTGTGCCTCATCCCCCTGTTGTGACTCCGATTTCAAGAGCTGCCCGGCACAATTTTGTAAGACCTTTCCCAACCTCTGCAAACGTTTGCGTGCCCAAGGAGGGCTGCCTTCTCGGTTGCAGAGTGACAGGTGGCTGTGTAAAGAGAGTCCTCGCCTTACGACCTTTCTTTTCATGACTCATTTGAAGTTGCAACGCCACTGGGGGGAAAAAGCGACTTAACGACTAGTCCTCACACTTGTGACAATTGCAGCACCCCAGGGTCACGTGATCACCATTTCCCAGCTGCCCTCGGACGAGCAAAACCGGGAAAGGAAGCTGGGATTCACTTAACAACATGAGCAGCGTTTCGCTTAGTAAAGGGGGGAGGGGGGAGATCAGAAAAAATAAAACTGGGCCCCACTCACTTCACTACCGCCCTAATTACCAACACAAAGTATGGTCCCAATTGTCGTAAGCTGAGGACTACCTAACCTGGCTCAAAAACAATAACTGGGAGAGGGACCTCGGAGTCCTAGTGGACGGTCATTTAAACATGAGCCAGCCGTGTGCGTCAGCAGCCAAAAAAGCCAATACAATCATGGGTTGTATAAACAGAGGCATGGAATCAAGATCACGTGACTTATTAGTGCCGCTTTATAAAGCCCTAGTAAGGCCACACCTGGAATACTGCAGCCAATTTTGGTCACCGCGTTAC